GGAGGGTTGTTGTGGGACGGCGAAAGACATGGGTGCTCAAACGGCAGTGCGGGACATTCGTGTTGGTGAAGCCGACGACGATCAGTGGGATCTAGGGCGAAGGTATTCATTGGTGGCCCGGCTTGGCAAGAGCATCAGAGACGAAGGCGTCGGTGCATAGTTCTAACTGACAGCGAGCTCAACATCAGATCCAAACTTATCGAATAACGGCATGGGCGTTTTTCAGGTTTTCTCTTTATGTTTGGTTTGGGTCGGGCGACAAAGCCGCGGCGTTGCCCAGGGGTAGGAATAATGTTCTCTCCACCCTATCCCGATTGCATTGGTGTGTCTTTCACCGGTGGAGACGTGTGGAGCTGTGACTCCGATGGGTCTTCTGGGATCCGGTCCGTTTAGGTTTCCGATGAATCCATCTAGATTCGGCTGGCTTTCGGAGTTTCTACATGCCCTTATTGATGTTTTTTTTCTCTAGGGCGACAATTTTCTTCGTAGATCACGATCGTCGGCGCCTCCTGATCTACATCGACGACTTCTCGGCCGATGCTTCTACAAGCACATGGGTTTGAAAATGTTTGCTCCACTGAGGCAGAGGCCCAAAGGTGGCATCAAGTTATGCTCACGGCGCGCCACCGTGGATGCAACAAGAACACTTGGTCACCCCAAAGATTTTGAATGTATTTCAAATTTTCTGAAAGAGTGTATTTGTAAGGACCTTTGACACTTAATATATGGCCTTAGACCTTTTCTCAAAAAAAAAGTAGAACAAACTAATCTCGCGACGGTGAGTTTAGTTAGCTTGTTATTTTCTCTATGATGGACATCCTCTAGATTGTATTGCTAGATTTCTAAGTTCATGCACAACCTTTTATTCCAAAAAATTTGCCGAAGTTCTTGCACCCCAAATGAGAGAGTAAATAGCATAAAACTACTACTTTACAGGCTAGGGTTTCAAAAAACTACCACTTTTTAATTTTTCTCAGAAAGCTACCAAACGAGCGGTCGGCTGTTTTAAAAAACCCCAAATCCTCTTTGTTAAAAAATTAAACATGTTTATGACAAGTCGGGCCCGCCACTAAACGCACCATCTGTTTGACTGTTTGTTTGACCGTTAGCTGACATTTGAGGCCCACATGTCACTGTCTCTTTTAGAAAACTGGGTCCTGCAAATATTTTAAAGAAAGCAATCAGGCCCCTCAACAATTTTACAAAAGCAATCCGGCCCAGTCAATCCCGCCCGCCATCCCCGGCCATGTCGCCGCCGCCTAGAATCCACGCCTCAGGGTCGCCGTCGCGCACCATGGCGCTGCTGGAGACGCTGCCGTGAGCCATGGGGTGCCGCTTGGAGTCGTCGCCAACCACTTCCTCTCCCACGGGGCCGGCGAAATCTGGCACGGGTAGTGCAGCACCGTCGCCGCCCGCTGCTATGCCTCGGTCGCTCGACCCTGCCCACCAGGAACCGCTCCTCTGGCGGCACGGCGGCCCTGAGGCTCCTCTCCAGAGCCGGCGAGCCCCTTCCCCTCCCGAGTCGGCAACCCCCTTCCCCTCCCAAGCCGGCGACCCCCTTCCCCTCCCAAGCCGGCGAAGCCGGAGCTCCTGGTGGCGACGGTTGCGACGAGGCCGGCCTCGTCCGCGGCACTCCAGCAGCGGCGCAAGCCATCTGCGTCGAGCTTGAGGAGCTCGCGCCAGGGAATGGCGGCGGCCGCGGGCGAGGCACGGCGTGGCGGCGGCCGCCGCGAGGCAGGCGGGGCATGGCGTGGCGGGGCAGGCGAGGCATGGCGTGGCGGCGGCTGCAGGGCAGGCAAGGCACTGCATGGCGGGCGTGGCTCGCCGGCCGCCGGCATGGACCCGGCCGCTGCGGGCGCGGCTCGCCGGCCGGAGGAGGCAGCGCTGCCCTGCCGAGCGGGATCGAGCTCGAGGCTGCCACGGGGACCCGATTGCTTTTTTCAGAAAACTTATAGGGACTTGATTGCTTTTTCAGAAAACTTGTAGGGACCCGATTGCTTTTTACAAAACTGACATATGGGACCTAGATGTAACTTAATGGTCAAAGTAAACGGTCAAACTAACAGTTTGTTTAGCTGTGGGCTCAACCTGTCATAAACGTGATCAACTGATAAAGACTCGACGATTTGGGTTTTTTGAAACAGCCGACCACCCATTTGGTAGTAATCTGAGAAAAAATAAAATCCGGTAGTTTTTTGGAACCCTAGCCTGTAAAGTAGTAGTTTTATGCTATTTACTCCAAATGAGACGAAACGTGTTGTAGATGGACAAATCAAATTATTTGAATGCAAAAATACTGAAGACATTTTTTACATTCACTTATTAAAATCATTAAGCTACGCGTGAAGGGCGGTCAACCAACTATGCCACATGGCGCAAGCTGGTTGGCCGCAGTGAGAATTTTTTTGGAATTCTTTTTAGATGAAGGTGTGGATTATTTTTTAAAATGTATTTTTTAGATGAAAATGAGGACCTCTGATATTTTTAAATGAAGGGTTATGCAAAGTGGCACTCGCCGGTAGGCTGTTGTGGTAATTTTTCTTTTTACTTTTTTTCTTCTTTTTTAGATAAAGGTGAGGATTTTTTTGAGATGTGTTTTTAGACGGAGGCGAGGACTCTATGTATTTTTTAAAATAAAAATATGCGCACAACTTCCTCTCAAGCGGCGCCACAGGGAAGAGGAAGTACATCAAGTACAAAGCATGCACATGTTGTCAACCAAACCTAACCTTCCATGCTGATACTATTCAACATGATTGTAATCCTATTCGGTGATTAATAAAGCTCAATGGTTCCCCCAAAAAACCCTGCAAGGCAATGCCAATGGTTCAATTTACATTCTACAATTTTCTATAAATACACTTACCTAATAGTACATTAGAAACCACCATTAAGATATTTGTTAGACTATAGGCTTAGATCTCAAGCATCGCTACGGGAAAATATTGTATGCCGAGGGTATTTTATCGAGCACTCGACAAACAAGCCCTTTGTCGAGGGTATCGACGACAACATTCAGCAAGAAAAAAATGACACTCGGCAAACATATGCTTTGCCGAGTGTTACATTCAACAAAGTAAG